CCAGAAAATCCAAACGTTAGAAATTCAGTAAAAGTTACGTGTTTTAAAAAAATCTTCCTGGTTTAAAAGTAGGAAAATTTTCACCCTTATCATTAGCTGCGACTTCATCTATCAAAGTGATGCCTAAAGATCTCCTTCTGGCCGTTTATTCAATTCATATTCAACTGAATATCGTCTGCTTCCAATTTTTAATCGCAAAATTGCCTGAAAACACAGTGAAAATGAGTTGAACAAGATCCGACTCGGAGGACCAAAACCTGAAAATTGCTTGAAATCCGGGGGAAAACAGGTCAAAGCAGCCACATGTCCGACAGGCGTGAATAAAGCGAATAAAACTAGGCCAAGGGTCTCAACCCCCGGATAAAGGGTGACCCACTTTCCAAGGGTGAAGGACAGATGCATAAATCTGCGGCTGAAGCCTCCCACCAATCAACGTGGGGTACGGTTTTAAGCGCTATCGCGATCAATCAAGACACAATTTCGATTCTAGGAATCCAACAGATGATTTGCAAGTAAATTGCGCAGTTAAATGACTGCGACAATCGTCGCGGGAAGGTTATTTTAACATTTTTTCCAAGCACTATTGATCTCTAATGTCTGGTTCGGACTAGTGATGGGAGGGATCGAATTGAACATTTGCAAAGAAAGAGAGATGTAAAAGCAGAGTTTTATCCGAATCCTCGAATGCGTTGCCGTGAGGCGCTATGAGTTGTAACTCAGCAACTCACAGAGCGGCATCAACTCAACACAGTGTTACCCGTGCCTATCTACAAGCTGACTTTTTCATAATCCAATCCATTTGAATAATCGATTATCCTCAGCCCTAGTCGAGCCGTAGTAATTAAACCCTTAGAAGACCACAATCTCATCAGCCGCGCTATTTTCGACTGTTTGCCGTAAACAGTTTGGCTGATTCGAGGAAATTCGGCGGCATGAACAAGCCCGCGGGGGAAAACATCCCCAACAAGGAGGGTCCGTTTTCCCCATCGCTCCCCCGACGGCGAGACGTAGAGCGATCGATTGAGCTCGCCAAGAATCGCGTTTTTTTAGGGTTTTGTCGCGCTTTTTACCATTTATTGTTTGGGGCGAGCTGCTGGTCTATGCGCCGACCTTGGACCGAAAGAAGGGCGATTTTCCATCTGCACCGGCTGGTCGAGGAATTATTTGCAAGAGACCTTGGAAACTTCCGCAACTGCTGTTTCTAGTCGCATACTAATAGTCGGGCAGCATGTTGACCAGAACTGAATTCGGGCTACTTTTCATCGTGAAACATGGAAGAATTTACGAATAATCTTCAGAGGATCCGTCGTTTTGTCATTCACATTCCCCCCCTTGTGCTTGTATTGATAAGGCACCAGAATAAACGCATGTAGTAAAGGAAAATTAAGTGAGCGAGATCCGGCTCGAAGGACCAAAGTTTGTACGTCTGATGAAATAATCAGGTCCCAAAGAGAAAACGCAGGAAAGGAAGACTTTCCATTAGAACTGTGAGGGCACTTTTGGTCATGTTTTAGGGGTTAGGGCAAGGCTAAGAAGAGTCCGAAGTGCTTCTTGTTCTTCATCTACCATAGTCTTTAAAAATCTTCTTCTGGCCGTTTAGAAGTAAGTTTTTCTTTCACTAGGAATTCTCTGATGCTCAACCGTCTTTACTCGGTTGATTTTTCTGATCTTCTGCGTTCTCCACGATGGCTTCATGAAATGATTCCGTCAACCTTACTACAAGCGTTTTTATGGCAGAAG